TTTCTCTCCACATGAACCTCTCCTTATTCTTGAATGTCCTTATGAAATGAAAGGTGGCTTTCCCCAGATATGGTGATTCAAGAGAGAGGATTAGGAGGAAACCTCAATGCCTCTCTTGCTGCCACCCCTCCCCATGCGCTGCCCCCCCCCCAGACACCCTCCCCCCGCCTTTTAAGACTTAGTCTTGGACGTCATATCTTGCCACTTACTCATTCTTTTTTAAAAAGGATTTATTTTATTTATTAGGTAGTGGGAAGAAAAGGGATCAAAACTGGGGAGAGAAAAGCACAAGACACTAGAGACTATGGTGATGGCTCATGGGTGAATTGGTGGTGGGAATTTTATGGGGAATACACAATGATGTAAAAGACATAAATATCTTTGTTGTGTTTGCATTGTTATTAATTTTTTGCACTGATATTTGGTTCCCCTATATTCCTCCTATAAGTGAAACCATCTGATATTTTTCTTTTTCCTTCTGACTTATTTCACTAAACATAATTCCTTCTAGCTCCATCCATGTTGCTGCAAATAGCATGAGTTTATCTTTTTTGATTGCTGAGTAATATTCCATTGTGTATATGTACCACATCTTGATCCAGTCCTTTATTTTTGGGCATTTGGGTTGTTTCCAGGTTTTATCTATTAGACATAGTGCTGCAATAAACATCTTGCAGGGGAGGAGGAGGGAGAGGGATCAGAGGGAGGGAGGGAGGAGCACAGGGGACTGTGGTGATGGTGCATCGGTGCGTTGGTGAAGGAAATTCTATGGGGACTACACCTGAGGTGGGGGGCGGGAAGCAAATATTGTTTAAAAATGAACAGTGATGTAAAAAATGAATTTAAAAAGATATAAATAAAAATAAATTATATATAAAAAGATTTATTTATGCATATGAGAGCTGAGGTGTAGACCAGAGGTGTGGGGGTAAGGGGGTGAGAGGATTCACCAGAGACAGAGTGGGGAGCAGAACAGATGGATTGATTGGAATGCACTGCTGAGGGGAGAAGTGGGCAAGACAGGAGAGGTCTGCTGTGCCATGTGGTTATCTCCCTGGCCAGAATCGAACTCAAGCTGCAGTTGCTGGCAATAGCTTGATTAGCTCTGAGACTTTTTTTTTTTTTAATAGAGGCATGTTTTTCTTTACTTATTTGTTTGCTTGTTTGTTTGTTTTGTTTATACATGCACTGGGTACAGTCAGAAGCGCGGGAGGGTGAGAGAATTCACCAGAGCCAGAGCGGGGAGCAGAGCAGGCAGAAGGACCAAAGTACACTGCTGAGGGGAGCAGCGGGCAGCAGGAGAGGTCTGCGCGCCATGTGGGACCCTCCTCCGGTGGCCGGGGAGCAGCCGGGGATTGAACCGGCGCCGCAGAGGCTGCGGGCAGCTTCGCAACCCAGCGCTCTACCGCTGCGCCACCGGGGAGGCTCTGAGACTTAACCCCTGCACCAAGGAACCCACTCCCCACTTACTCCTTATTCTATTTGTTCAAAGTAAGTCATTAAGTCCAGGCCGCACTCCAAGGGAAAGGAGTTACATTCTACCTTTTAAAGAAAGGAGGTCAGCAGCATCCCTGACCTCTACCTGGTTGTGACAATCCAAAATTTCTTCAGACATTACCAAATTTGTGACTATGTTTTAAACTACCACAGGAAGATATAAAGCAGTAAACAAGTAAATTGTGGAATATACTAGAGGGTGATAAGTTTTATGAAAAGCCAGAAAAAATAGAGCAGAGGTAAGGGAATCTATATGTGTTTATGAAGGAATGTGGGGGTGAACATTTAAACAAGATGGTCGGTATAGGACTCATTAAGGTTAGATATGAGTAAATACTTGAAAGAGAGGAGGAGGTTAGCTAAGATATCTGGAAGAACAAGGTCCCATACCAAGAGAATAACTAACTGAAGGAAAGTCCCTGAAGTGAGGTGAGAGAAAAAGAGAGTAAAGTGAGGTGAGAGAAAAAGAGTCCTCACCATATTTTGTCAGTAGTATATTTTCAACTGGGTAGGTGGGGGGAAAGTTGAGGACGGATTATTTTCATCACTGAAATTAATGATTTTATTATTTCTAATAGGAATGTAAAGAAGATATAAAAATGGATTCAAGTATGGTTGTGAATTCTGTCACTATATCTGTTGAGGGAATGACATGTAGTTCCTGTGTTTGGACCATTGAGCAGCAGATTGGAAAACTGAATGGAGTACATCACATTAAAGTAAGTTATTCTTTGGAAATTAATGAAGTCAAGTGTTGACTAGAATTCTAGGAAAGTACTTTTAACACAGAGAAGTAGATATAACTGACATACTTGTCAACAAAGACTATCATGCTTCAAACCCTGAAGCTAAATGTGTTTTCTTTTGTCCATTCACTTCTTTTTGTAAAAAGAAATATATATATATATATATTTTCTATTTCAAAATATCTGAAGATGGAATATTCAGTTTGAGGTATACAACATTATAATTCAACATCTGTATATCTATAGTATGTTCACCACTACATTTACTTCAATTTTCATTTGCAAAAATAAAATTGACTTTTAGACCATCTTAACACATATATGATATAGTTTGTCACAGAATCTTAGTGAAGATTCGGTATATTCTAAGTTTTCTACAATGAACTTTAATTATAAATGGTTTTTGTAAATATATTATTTTTATTTCCATGTTCATAAAAATGTCTTTGATTTTAAAGGCTAAGATAAATATGTATTTATACTATAATTATACTAATTAGTCTTTATACTATAGTCCAGGTTTCTCAACCTCAGCTCTATTGACATTTTGGGCTAGATATTTCTTTGCTGTGGGTGACTGTTGTGTGCTTTATAGGATGTTTAGCAGCATCTCTGACCTCTACCTGGTTGTAACAACCCAAAATTTCTTCAGACATTACCAAATTGCCCCCAGTTGAGAATTGCTGCTGTATTCCCTTCTCAGAGAATATCCTTCAGCTGTTCAGTTAATATTTGAAGTTGGTGAATTTTTTTTATTAGTCTCATGTGCCCCCCTTCTCTTTATATTAGGTTTTTACGGTTCTTTTTTGCTAGTGCCTGGCAGAGTGGGCAGTGAGTCTCAAACCATAGCATGGTAATCATTTGGAATGCTTGTTAAAACATGAATTGCTAGTCTTCCTCTGTAGGATTTCTGTTTTAGTGGGTCTGCCTGGGGCTTGATTATTTATATTTCTAACAAATACGCAGTAAATTCTAACAAGTACACTGTTAAGTCTAACAGTGGTGACCCTGGAAATCACAGATGGTTTTGCATGAGATATACTTACACTGATGACTACTTGTTGTTTATGTAAAATCTAAATTTAACTGGGTATTCTGTATTTTTTAAAGATTTATTTATTTATGCATACAAGAGCTGGGGCATAGGCCTGAGACACAGCGGGTGAGAGGATTCACCAGAGACAGTGGGGAACAGAACAGGCAAACTAACTGAAATACACTGCTGAGGGGAGCAGCAAGCGAGACAGGAGAGGTCTGCTTTGCCATGTGGGTTGCTCCCTGGTGGGCTGGGGATCGAACTTGTGCTGCAGAGGCTTTGGATTGCTTCATAGTTTGGTGCTTAACCCCTTGCGCTACCAGAGAAGCCCCGGGTATTCTGTATTTTTGCTCAATCTGATAATAGTACTTTGAAGTCATCCTTAACACCCCAACTTTTAGCCCCTTATAAGCACTGATTTACTATTTCTTGTATAAGTTTTACTTTATAAAAACTGCCATATGAATGGAATCATATGGTATATACCATATACCCTTTTGAGTCTGACTTTTTTTACTTAGAATAATGCATTTGAGATCCACTGATGTTGTTGCTTATATCACTACTTTTTTTTTTGCTGAGGAATATTCCATTGTGTGAATGTACTACAGTTTGTTTACACATTTACTCATTGAGAGGTGTTTGGAATGTTTCCACTTTTTTGTGTGTGTGATTATGAAAAATACTTTGAAAATGAAAAAGTGTTCCATATTACTTTCTTTAGTATGAAAGCAGTTTCAGCAACAATTCTATTAAATTTTACTTTTAAAAATATGAGTGCCAGACCTCCTGGTGGCGCAAGGGATTAAGCACCGCATTATGAAGCAATCTGCAGCCTCTTCAGCATGAATTCAATTCCCGGCTGGCCAGGGAGCAGCAACCCACATGGTGCAGCAGACCTCTCCTGTCTCGCCCACTGCTCCCCTCAGCGGTGTACTTCTGTCAATTTGCCTGTTCTGTTTCCCAATCTGTCTCTGGTGAATCCTCTCACCGCCCACATCTGTGGCCTGTACCTCAGCTATTGTTTGCATAAATAAATAAATCTTTTTTTTTTTTTTAAATATTAAATTTTATTTTTATATTCCCCCATACAATTGCAAACGCCCCATTCTGACCCCAATCCTTCCCCTCCCGCCCCCCCCCCCTAAATAAATAAATCTTTAAAAAAATATGAGTGCCAAGAAAACTTGTTCTGATTGGAGGGGTTATAGTATAGTGATATTACTTGATTCTTCTTTTTTTTTTTTTTTTTAGAATATTTACTGTTTCCTCTTCTTCCTATCCCTTATTTATGTATTTACTTATTTATTTAATTGTTTTACATCCTTGTTAATATCTTGACATACAGGGTTTTTCCCCTCGTGTGGTTACCCTGGCTCTCCCACCACCAAAGCACCGTAGTCCTCCTCCATGGTGTTATTTACCTAGTCCATTATGTTTATATACCTTTTGTTATCACCCCTCCTTTTTTTCTCCCCCTCCCTTCCTTGATGCCTCAGATCTATGGTTAACTTTCAAGGGTTGGTTTTATTTTATTTTATTTTTTTAAGATTTATTCATTTATACAAGCACTGGGTACAGTCAGAAGCACGGGAGGGTGAGAGAATACACCAGAGCCAGAGCGGGAACAGAACAGGCAGACTGACAGTATGCTGAGGGGAGCAGCGGGCACGGCAGGAGAGGTCTGCACACCATGTGGGACCCTCGCTGGGGGCCGGGGATCGAACCAGCACTGCAGAGGCTGTGGGCAGCTTCACAGCCCAGGGCTCAACCGCTGCGCTATCAGGGGAGGCTGTCTGACCTTTTGTTTGGTTTCTCTATTTCACAAATAAGTGAGATATTTGTATTGTATAAGTATTTCTCTTTCTCCTTTTGGCTGGCTTCAGTTAATATAATCCCTTCCATCTGCATCCATGTTTCTACAAATGGCATGACTTTCTCTTTTTTAATTGCTGAGTCTCTGGTGAATGAATCCTCTGGTGAATCCTCCACAGTATTCCACTGTGTATATATATACCACATCTTCTCGATACACCTGTCTATTTTGGGACACTTAGGTTGTTACATATCCAGGCTATTTTAAATAGTGCTGTTATAAGCATGGGAGTGCAGGTTTCTGTTTGAAATAGTGTTTTTGTATTTTTGGGAGAGATACCTAGGAGTGGGATTGCTGGGTTGTATGGCAGGTCCATTTTTGTCTTTGAGAAACCTCCACACTGTTTTCCGTAAGGGACTGGACCAGTCCAGTCCACATTCCCACCAACAGTGTAAGAGGGTTCCTTTTTCTCCACACACTGGACAACATTTGTTGTTTCCTGTTTTTTTTTTTTTTAATATGAGCCATTCTCATTGGTATAAGGTGGTATCTCATTGTGGTTTTGATTTGTATTTCCCTGATTACAAGTGCTGTTGAGCATCTTTTCATGTACCTGTTGGCCATTTGCGTTTACTCTTTGGAGAAGTGCTTTTTTAACTCTTCTGCCCATTTTTAATTTTTTTATATTTTTATTATTTTTTTTAGTTTTGCTCCTTTTTATTTTATTTTATATAATTCTTACATCATTTTTCATTTTTGCACAATGTATGCATTTTCATTTTGGTTATATTCCCTGTAAAATACCCCCCCCCTTATTTCAGCCCTAACCCTCCTCTCCTCCCCTCCTCCCCATTAGTGTCTCTGGTTTATGGTTGCTTGTTGATATTGATTTTTTCTTTATTATAATTAGTCTTTTTCCTGGTCCCTTATTTAGGTTTTCTAAATTCCTGCTATGAGTGAGATCATCTGATATTTTCTGTTTCTTTCTGGCTTACTTCGCTGGGCATGATCCTTTCCAGCTCCATCCATGTTGCTGCAAATTGCATGAGTTTATTTATTTTTTTTTTTAAATAGAGGCATGTTTTATTTATTTATTTATTTGTTTGTTTGTTTTGTTTATACATGCACTGGGTACAGTCAGAAGCGCGGGAGGGTGAGAGAATTCACCAGAGCCAGAGCGGGGAGCAGAGCAGGCAGAAGGACCGAAGTACACTGCTGAGGGGAGCAGCGGGCGGCAGGAGAGGTCTGCACGCCATGTGGGACCCTCCTCCAGTGGCCGGGGAGCAGCCGGGGATCGAACCGGCGCCGCAGAGGCCGCTAGCAGCTTCGCAACCCAGCGCTCAACCGCTGCGCCACCGGGGAGGCCCGAGTTTATTTTTTTTGATTGCTGAGTAATATTCCATTGTGTACATGTACCACATCTTCTTGATCCAGTCATCTATTTTTGGGCTTTTGGGTTGTTAACATAGCTTAGCTATTGGAAATAGTGCTGCTATAAACATAGGGGTGCAGGTGCCCTTTTGAATTAATGTTTCTGTGTCCTTTGGATAAATACCTAGGAGGGGAATTGCTGGATCATATGGAAGCTCTATGTTTATTAGGTCAGGAAATCTCCACACAGCTTTCCATAGTGGTTGGACCATTTTGCACTCCCACCAGCAGTGCAGGAGAGTTCATTTTTCTCCACATCCTTGCCAACATTTGTTGTTGCTAGTTTTTTTAATATGTGCCATTCTTACAGGTGTAAGATGGTATCTCATGGTAGTTTTGATTTGCATTTCCCTGACTGCATGTGACTTTGGACATTTTTTCATATTCCTCTTGGCCATTTGCATTTCCTCTTTGAAGAAGTTTCTTTTAGTTTTTCTGCCCATTTTTTGACTGGATTATTTACTTTGTTTTTGTTGAGTTGCATCATCTCTTTGTAGATTTTTGTGATCAGTCCTTTATCATTAGTGTTGGGTGCAAAAATTTTCTCCCAGTTGGTGGGGTTTCTCTTTGTTTTGGTTATTGTCTCTTTTGCTGTGCAGAAGCTCTTTAATTTGATGTAGTCCCAGCTGTTTATTTTTGCCTTCACTATCACTGCTTTGGGTGATGTGTCTGTAAAGATGTCTTTGAGGT